TGTTAACACCATGGTCAAAGGGTTTAGATCCCCATCCTGGCCAGCCACCAAAAAAAAATCCCCACACAAATACAGAATCCACAAATAATGAAGATAGACTGTATATAGAAAGGGATTTGTTACTGGGATTTGACCAGAGCTGTTTAAGAAATCTCTGTAAAGATGTTGACTTAGCATCTGATGCTGGAGCTTGAGTCCACGGAGCAGACAGTTAGTAAGGTAAGGTGGATATAAAGCAGCAGAGAGCAAGAATGAGCTCGAACTCAAAAGCAAGCTGTTTAAGAAATCTCTGTAAAGATGTTGACTTAGCATCTGATGCTGGAGCTTGAGTCCACAGAGCAGACAGTTAGTAAGGTAAGGTGGATATAAAGCAGCAGAGAGCAAGAATGAGCTCGAACTCAAAAGCAACAGCTAGTGTCCATGAAGATGGACTTAAACCCATATGTCAGTTCTTGTTGCTTCTGCCTTTGGTGGAGTGGGTATCCGGTAGAAGCCTATGTCCTTTGTCACGGAACTAAACACACGCACCTGCTTCAGGAGTCAGAGATGCTGGAGGGAAGGCCAGGGGAAGGTGGAGCAGACATAGTCCTAACTATTGCCTCGTGCCACAAGGCAAGCCAGCAGGTAAGTAATAATATGTGTGAGTCAGAAATAACTGCTGCTTTGCTTAAACCCTCCAAATGTCCCACAAAAAAATCTCCCTTGTGTGCCTTCTTAACAGAAACATACAGGAAAAGGAATTCTGGGAAATGTAGTTTAAGCTAGCCAAATCGATACATTAAAAAGCCACCACAGTCTACCCCTTGCCAAGTTGGCACTCATATGCATCTTAAAACAGACTTAATCTCCAAGTAAAGACATTCATAAAAAGTCATGCTTCCACCCAACATGATACAGCTATCCCATGTAGCTAAGAAGAGGGTACTAAGTCCCTTTTCCCAGAAGAGGGTACTAAGTCCCTTTATTGTCTGTGGCTTATATGCATTCTTCTCACCTTTGGTATCCTATAATTTAAATACTAAAGTATTAAGTTAATTACTATTGTTACATCTTATATTAGATGATAAGGGAATCAAGAGGAGACAAAACCAAAAATATTTAGTGTGTGTGTATATATGTATACAAAAATATACATATCAAAATAAAGAGAAATACTGTTACATTCTTCATTTTTGCAGCTGGTCGTGTAGTTGTAGCTGGTGTGTATAATTACCTTCTTCCAGTACCCGTTTAGTATTCTCTTTGCTCTCAGCAAGGACCTTAGCTGGTCAAGATTCTTTGTCTGGTGAAACGACCCACACCTTCATTCCTGAATGGTCTGGGCCATTAGCAGTTCTGTCTGAATTAGGTTATTATAGTACACTATTGACTGTAATTACAGGAAGTACTAACAGTCACCCTAGAACATTTCCTGCATTGCAAACATGCTCTTTCTTACCTGTATTGTATAGTAGCAATTCAGTTTTCCCTTAAAAATCAGGATCTTTCACCTAGCCAGTACAGTAGCACTCTCCATTTCCTGTTGATTCACTGGTATAAAGAGCCCGGAGTGGCAAGATGGCAGTCTTAACTTCCAGTTCAAATGGAATCACTATTATCTCGTGATGGAAATATTTCTCCCTTTGGAACTAAGACCTTTAGAACAGTGGAGACTAAAGTCATCGGAATGGAAAGCAAGAGTTTTACTCATAGATCATTAAGGGTAGCAGGAAGAGAAGCCAGTCCCATTTCTACCCCTTCATTCCCAGATCTGGGCTAAATATCACCATATGTTAAGTGCTGATTTAGAGCAAATTCCATATCCTGGAGGACATTGTGCCATCCCCACAAAGTGTTGTTACCTAGCAGGAACCGTAACTACTAGGTTATGTCTTCAAAAGGTCATTCCACCATTCTGTGAAGTCTGCTGTTTAAGTATATTGGGGAACATGGTAAGACCAGCAAATGTTGGCAGACCTCAGGCTTTCTCTTGTCTTCTTGCTTGTTCACTCTGGTGGAAGCCAGCTGCCATGTTGTAAGCTGCTCTGTGGAGAGGCCCACATTGCAGGGAACTGGTGTCTCTGACCAAGGGCCAGTGAGGACCTGAGGTCTGCCAACTGCCACATGAGTGACCTTGCAAGAGGATTTTTCCCCCAGTTGAGCATCCAGATGACTGTAACCCCAGCCAGCACCTTGATTACAGCCTTGTGAGAGATGCTGAGCCAGAGTCACCCAGCTAAAACATGTGTTCAGATTTCTGACCCACAAAAACTGTGAGATGGTAAATGTGTACTGTTTTAAGCTGCCAATTTTGGGGTGATTTGTTTCACAGCAGTAGATAATTAACATCAACTTTGTGGTCACAGAAGCCTAAGTAGAAATAACCTTACCCTTTTTTTTTGAGACTAACGTCTTGTAGGGCCCATCCTAGCTGTGATACCTTAGGGATTAAAAGCAACTTTTCTTTTCTTTTTTTTTTTTT